CAGCCCACATCTGCCTCCACGTGAGACAGGTGTCCCCTCAGCCCACATCTGCCTCCACGTGAGACAGGTGTCCCCACAGCCCACATCTGCCTCCATATGAGACAGGTGTCCCCAGCAGCCCACATCTGCCTCCATGTGAGACAGGTGTCCCCACAGCTCAAAGGAATTCTCCCAAATAGAACAAGAGACTTGGAAAGCAAACCCACCATCCTCCATTCTACAGATGTTCCTGTCCAAGCCAATCAGGAAAGGGGGAAAAAAGCAATAGAAAGTGTGTTGCCATGACAACACTTCCTGACTCATTCATAGCAAACGTTTTCGTTATGAAAAATAATACACAAAGAAACAGACTAGAGGACACGATGCCTGTGTTTGACCTTGACAGTTAGCCATGCCCTGTTTTTGTATTTGTCCCACAGTACTTTTCTAAAGGAGAAAACCAAATTGAATGACATTGTTGTTTAATATCAAGGACACTATATTAGCAAGTTTATTGTCACCGTTCCACTGACAGTGACGTCAGGGCAGGAGCTGCCTGTCCTGTTTGGTTTTGTCACACAATCTACAGTAAACATTTATGAAATAAATATCCAACCATGAAGCAAGATTGAAACCCGTGAGACCTTCAAAATAAATGCATCTTCTTTAAATATCTTACTATTTAAGGTAAATTTTAGTAAAATTTAGCATGCCGTAATTCAGTCCTGCTGCACCAAAATACTGTTTTTGTGATGCACGGTTCCTTCGTACTCTGTAGATGTATGCAAAGTCTCTGGACCCTAGGAGGAATACCAGTAGAGATGAAAATGTGTCTAACTCGAGTCCTCTGAGGGGCGTTTTAGGCTCCAGCAATTACTCCTGCTACGTTCTCTTCTGTAATTACAGGAGAAACACTTTTTGAAAGAAGAGAAGAGTAAGCTCAGCCAGGAGCTGAGTACCGTAGCAACAGAGAAAAACAAGATGGCCGGGGAGCTGGAAGTGCTGCGGTCTCAGGAACGGCGCTTGAAGGAGAAGGTTGCGAACATGGAGGTCGCTCTTGACAAGGTAGTTATTGACTGAGCAGATGAGGTTAGCCTGCAGATAACAGCCGGATAGGGTAGTTCTCAGCGGAAGTGCTGGGCCACCAAGTGATGTGCCTCGCATCCCAGTCTTACAGCAGAGGCAAGCTGTCACGTAAGAGGAGCCTCACTTTAAAACTCACAGCCAAGCGTATGCAGTGGGCGCTCAGTGTGGCTGTCACTGAACTGCCTAGCAGAAGCAGTGGAGCTTTATTTTTGTTCATGATTTCATGTTTCTTTCAGCCCCCCATGGTAGTGGAAAGTATGGCAGCCACACCTTATATCATGGCAGACCAGGGAGCCAAGTGTGAAGCCAGAGTCAGGAAAGGCCTGTTCTGTCTCTAGAGGCCTTTCTGTCTGCTGGGCCCACCTCCTAAAGCTTCCATGCTCTGTGAGGAACAGTTTAGACTCCAGTCATAATAGCAAACTTTTTTTCCCCCAGAAAAATAACCATTTTCAGGCTAACACAAGTCAGAGGAGCAGTAGATATAACGTGTCCTTGCTATCCTTAGTAACATGCCTGCATGAGCACCTAACCTACCATCAAAAGTAACTGGACTTTAGTCGGAACACAGCCTCTTAAATGTTAATAAAGTGATGCTGCTGATGTCTGACACTGTGTTGGGTCTGGAAAGGCGGGAAGGAAACAGGCGAATGGAGAAGGCCTGTCCCTGTGTTGATCATTTGTCACACAGGGTAAAACTGTCTCCCTGTTACTCCCAAACCCTGGAAACCTCAAACTGCGTCAAAACCAATCATCAATTCCTAAGAAACCAGACCTTTCTGCTTAGATAAAATAATCTGTGATCTGACTATGCCAGCTTTGTTTCTTGAAACATGCTCTTCTGAATCTGAGCTGTAATCTGGAATTTTTGAATATGGCCTCACACTTGCTATATAGCCCAGGGTAGCATTGAACTACTGATCTTCCCGTTTTTGCCTCCTGTGTCCTAGGACTACAGGCCTGACTTCTGAGCCCAGCCTGTGAAGTTTTATTCTTTGATAAAACTTTTTGCTAATTTCATCCTTTGTTCATTCACTCATACTAATTATTGTGTGTTTGCCAAGGATATATTGGATAAGATAGGCCACATGACTGAATGCAACAGATAAATGGATCATTAGAATACAGTGTGCCGGGGTGGAGGGTGGTTTTCCTTGAGTTGGTTAAGGAAGTACACGTGCATAAAGAATGGAGGATAAACACTTATGGTTGCTTGATTGTAGGCGTCTTTGCAGTTTGCAGAATGCCAGGACATCATACAGCGCCAGGAGCAAGAATCCGTGCGTCTAAAGCTTCAGCACACTCTGGATGTGAAAGTAAGGGGGTTTTCATCATAGATGATCTAAGCAGAAACAGTGCCTGTGCTTGATACTCTGGGATATTTTCTTTATGTACATTTCTGGGTGTGTGTGTGTGTGTGTGTGTGTGTGTGTGTGTGTGCGAGCTCGTGTGCCCCCATGTGAATGCGTGTACGTATTCATATGTTTTTAAGTGAGCACTGTGGAGGTCAGAAGTCAATGTTAGGTTTCTTCCTCAGTCACTTCTCCACAGGATCTCTCACTTGAAGTGTGAACCTAATTAGTCTTATCAGTAAATCCAGGAGTCAAATATTGGGATAATAACCTGAAAGATCAGAGAAGCAGAGAAGCAGCCACTAGTGACTTCTTATTTCTCCAGATCCTCAGACCAAAAGGGGGCCAAGATCCTGTCTCCACCTCCTGAGTGCTGGGATCAAAGGTGTGAGCCTCCATCACCTGGCCTCTATGGTTAACTAGTAGCTAGCTCCACCCTCTGATCTCCAGGCAAGCTCTATTTGTCAGAACACAAACAAAATATCACACAACACTCACTGAATCTGGTACGCAGTAATTAGGTTAGGCTGACTGCCCAGCAAGGCCCGGCACCCATCACTCTCCACCACCCAGCTCTGGGATTCCAGACTCAGGCCACCACACTTGGCGTATTCCGAGAGTGCTGGACGTTGAAGTCCTTGAGCTTGTACCACAAGCCCCCTACCATCCGGGCCAGCTTCCCGGTCCCTACATAGTTTACATTTAAATGTATTTTCTATGTCATCTGCTATATTTACACAGTCTGTGGAAGTATTGCTACCCACTGTACCCATACTTTTCATATAGGATAACACCGAAACATCACATTTTAGTCTTAGTTACAAAAATTAAGTGAAACAATGTTCCACAAGCGCCTGCCTTGGGGATATGTAAGGAAAGAGTTTTCCACGCACAGATGTCGAGTTAACCAAAGACCCAAAGGATAAATGTTTGGCTTATTTGTGAAATAATTTACATGACAAAACATATTTTTTTAAAAAGTACTTTTATAATGAAATGTGTATATTTTCAGAAGTATATTTTAAGTTACTCAGTGTTTTAAAGTTTCAATAATAGATTTTGCCTGTGAAATTAAAAAACAATTTGATTTCACAGTTCTTTGTAGCTGTAGGTTAACATTACTCTGTTCACATCTGTTCACATCTGCATTGTCTGTAGGAACTTCAGGGCCCTGGATACACCTCTAATCCTTCAATGAAACCTCGCCTTCTCCAGCCGGCATCCGTAGCTCGGTCTCATTCTAATGTACCATCCTCTCAGTCTACGGCCAGCTTCCTGTCTCATGTTAGTAAGCAATCATGTAATCCATAAAATGAATGGCGTAATATGGGAGTAATATAAGTTGGGAAAAAGTCACTTATGAAAATAATGTTTATAACTAGCATTTTCAATGACTAAATTTCAGATTTATGCAATTTCCTAGGAATCCAATGGAGTCCATATGAAAAAATATTTTCTTCCCTGTTATTTTCTTAGAAAACATAAAAAAAAGTCATTGGGATTAATGATAAGAGAAAATATTAAATTGAATTATTTAATTGTATTATATCCAGTTCTCCTGTTAGTCCCAGCACAGGCATGTTTCATATAACAGAGAAACACAGACGGTAAAATAAATAGCATATCACATGCTAAGTGCAGTGTATTTAATACTTCACCAAGACAAAAACTGCTGGCTTTATGTTATACCTTAATAAACTTATTGTTAATATTTCATTAACCCTAAAATACCTTTATTTAGTCCCTCTAGTTAAAATGTTAGTAACTTGGTAAAATTTTTAGTTTAACTTTTTATACTTTCAAAACACAAGAAAAAACATGGACAATATAAATTCAAGTTTTCTCTGAATTCCTTATAATCAGAAGCCAGCTCTAACCCTTAACAAAGAAAGAAAAGACAAGAAAAAAACTTGTTCCATCTGTCAGTTATAATACTCACGTTTTTACTTTTAAAAGTCCTGTCTTCAGAATGGCAACAGGATCATCAGAACCATTGCAAGTACTGTTTAAATAAAAGTTCGGTGCTGTCTATATGACTAGTAGTTGAAACAGACTTGTGCACTGCTAAATAAACCGTCATTGATTCTGCTCTTCCCTAAGTCTTTCAGCAGCCGAATTCATTTCAGAAGAGAATATAGCGTACAGATAGGAAACACTAAGTCTTTGTGCGTTGTTTTAACCAGCACTCCATGAAAAACAACACCCTGAAGGAAGACCCCACGAGGGACCTGAAACAGCTTCTCCAGGAGCTGAGAAGTGTGATCAATGAGGAGCCGGCCATGCCTCTGAGCAAGACGGAGGAGGACGGAAGGACGGCGTCCCTTGGAGCGCTGTAGGTGGCCACGTGAGACTGCATGCTGGTAACGGCAGTGCTCCTCTCGGGCGTCACCACTGGGTCATCCACATGTTCCTATCTGGAAGGTCAAGGGTTAATGTGAAGTCACCAGGAAAAGCAGCCTGAAGGTGGAGAGGTTAAGCCAATCAATGAGGCCAACCCCAAGGGCAAATGGACACACAGTCAGTCCAGAAAGAGACCGATAGGCAGTGCTAGTCAGTGGTCATTTGTAGTGATTTATGATTCCCAAGAGATCGCATGACCATAATTGTAATTGAGTATGCACCACCAGTTGTGACAAGGTGGGACAATGTTTCTTATCTCATTTTACAAATGAAAAAACAAATCTCAAAGAGCTGATTTGGGCGCAGCACCCAGTCCATTGTGAAGCTAGAAAACTATACACACTGAGAACTAGGAACGCTCAAGGAATACGCTAATAGGAAAAGCCTAGGTCTCTGGCTGTTCATGACAAATTAATAGGATGTCTCATCCAAAACAGATGAGTCCACCAGCCCTCCTGCCCACGTCGGCAGAGGTCAGTGAGACTCCTGTGTGCTTTTCAAATGCTCTCATATTGTCACTTAAATTAACTTCTGCTAAAGAATTTAACGTGGTATCTACGTTGGTGCTAATCTTATTTTTGTATTCATGTGCTTATATGGCAAATATCTGAAAGTAAATTTTTCTGAAGAAATATCTCTATATAACATATCTCTAGGTCCTTAAGATATCCTGAGAATGTATATTTAACCCAAATGCCAACATTAGCTGGATTTATCTAATTGTTAATAATAACAGTAAAACATTAGGAATACATTGATTACCTATCATGACACTGCATTACCTCAGTCATAAAATGTCAGAAATGTTCTGTTGGTTATTCCAGCAAAGAAGGCTTTGACTTGCAGACCACTTTCTTTTCTGTGTGTCGGGGAATGAGACATAGTCACTGTGTAGCCCTGGCTGTCCTGGAACTCCCTTGTAAACCAGGCTGGCCTCAAACTCACAGTTATCTGCCTGCCCCTGCTGGGATTAAGGGCGTCCAGCACCACAGAGTCTTCCTATGTATCCCAGGCTGGCTTTGAACTCTTGATCCTCCTGCCTCACCATCCAGAGTGTGGATGCATGTGCTGCCACACCAGGCTGAGCACTTCACTTTTCTTGTAACTCTGATGGCCATCTGTGCCAGGACGGTATTGAATAGATTGACGCCAGAGGTACAAGCTCTGCCCTGAGCACTGGTGACCCAACACTGGAGTCTACAGGGTTACCATGGCTTCCCATCAGTTGCGGTCAGCATCCATCTCTGCCCCTGAGCTGTATCGGGACTGTATCAGAAAACGTATTTGGTGAGAATTTGGGTCAGTTTTCTGTAACTCTACAAACGGCCTTGTCACTGACATCTAACATCTGTCTAATGCTGAAGAATGCATGAAAGAAAGCCCTTGTCGTGATGCATGCCTGGAATCCTAGCACTTGTGGTGCAGAGACAGGAGCATTGCTGCCAGTTAGAGGCCAGCCTGGTTACATAACGAGTTCCAGGCCAGCCAGGGCTACACAGCTCCAACCTATTAAAAACAACAATAAATTGAAACCCAGAAACCAATCCCTGGAAGAAAGCATTATCTGAGCTGAATCCAGAACTAGCTGGCTCTTGTCAAATTTGCCTGGTTGCTTAAAATACAGTTGTAACTTAAAGAAAAATTAAGCATGAGTGAGTGATTATTTCTAACAGACCAAGAATGCAGAAATGCATGTGTCTGTAGTTAACTGAGTTTATCTGTCTACAGAGATGATAGAGTCAGAGACTGCATCACGGAATCGAGCCTGAGATCAGAACTCTGCCACAGGTGAGAGCATCAGACTTAGTCGGATTCACTAGCCAGGAATATTTTCTGTGGCCTGGGAAGCTGGGAAGTGGGTTTGCATAGTTTTCATGGAACTTGTTGTGCGTATTGGCTTCAGAGAAGGAAAGCTGTTCAATGCTTAACTCTAAAAAGGACTTCAGGGTCTAGAAATCAACTGAAAGCCTTGCCTCTCCTCTCTTCTCCTTTCCTTTCTTTTGCTTATTTTAAATCTTGCTGATTGTGGTCCTCAGCTTTCTGTCACTATAAAAGTGTCCGAGATAACTTACCAGAGTAGAAGTTGATGTGCACCCCATCCCGAAGGTTCTAGCCCACAGTCAGGCACACCCATAGCTTTGGGACTCCATTGAGGGTATCAGATGGCAAACGGCAAGGCGACTGAGGCGGACTGCTCACCTCACCGCTGGGAAGCAAAGGAGAGAAGGCCAGGGATGACAGCTCCCTTGGATGTCCCACCCAGTGACCTATGAACTGCCCACAAGGCCCCACCTCCTGAAGGCTCCACTGCCTTCCTGTAGTTCCGTGCTGGGGACTAAGTCTTAACTCACGGGACTTAGTACATTCAGCATCCAGACAAAACACTGATGTTTATCCATGTGAACTGTTTGTGTGGTATGCCATACCAAAGGACTTTGTCTACATTTACACATATTTACCGTGGTTTCTGTAACTTTGAAGGGTGATCCAGAAGGAAGTTACAACAGAAACAATGAATGATTGTAAGACTCTTACTAAAGATAATCCTATATTCATCAATAATTGAAAAGCTGAAGTCTAAATGAAATCATAAAAAATAACATGAAGAAAACTTGTAACACTCTATAAAACCCTAAAAGGACAATTCTTGAGAAAAAGTTAGCAAAAAAAAAAAAAAGTCTAATATTAATCCATTATTAGAGAAGACACAGAACCCATTGTTCCCTCATCTCTGCCTGCTACAGTGAACACTGGCCCCTCGGCCTGGCAGTGAAAACTCCCTGACTTGTAGCGCTAGCCTGTGCTGGCCAGTTTTAAGTCAACCTGATAGCAGCGAGAGTTGATTGAAAAGAGGAAACCACAGCTGAGAAAGTGCCACATAAAACTGGCCCGTGGGCAAGCCCATCTTGAGGAATGACTGATGGGGGAGGTCTCAGCCCACAGGGGGTGGTGCCATCCCTAGGCCAGCGGTCCTGAGTTGTTAGAGAAAGCAGGTTGAGCAAGCCATGAGGAGCAAGTTAGTAAGCAGCATCCCTCCATGGCCTCCGCTTCAGTTCCTGCCTCCAGGTTTCTATCTTGAGTTCCTGCCCTGATTCTCAAGGATGAACTGTGATGTGAAAGCAAAATAAGCACATTCCTCCAGGCTGCTGCTGGTCATGGTGTTTGATCACAGCCATAACCTACAACACAGCCTGCTCTTCTGACCAGATTAGTCCTCTTCCTCCCGTGTACAGCCAGGAATGGTGACCTTAAACTTCTCCTGGTCCCCCTGCCTCTACCGCTTGATTGATAGGATTATAGGCAGGGGCCACGCTCCCCATTTACATGGTGCTGAGATCAAACTCAGAGCTTTGTACCTGACAGGCAAGCACTGTACTAAGCTGTCTTTAGTCCCCAACTGATTGCTTTCAATTCCCAATGGTTCACTTCCCCTTTTAAAACATTTTTCCCTACATATATTTATTTATGGTGTGTGTGTGTGTGTGTGTGTGTGTGTGTGTGTGTGTGTGTGTGTGTGTGTGTGTGTGCGCGCGTGCACGCGCCACAGGACAGCTTGCAGGAGTCGCTTCTCTCCTTACGCCGCCGTGTGGGCTCCAGGGATCAGATTCAGGCCGTGGGCCTTGGCAGGAGGCTCCTTTTCTTGCTGAGCATCTCACAGCTGTCTTCTTTTGACTGTACATTTTCTCCACCCAGAAAAGCAGGAGCTTCATCCTCAACCTTCTGAGTCTGTAACTGCCCCAAATTCGTGCTCAAATGAAAACGCGCTTTCTCATAAAGCTGGCGGCAGTTTAAGAAGAAACTGAGTTTAGGATGTAGCTTGTTCTTGCACACAACCCTGGGTTCAATTCCCAGCACCTACCTCCACTAATACATAAATTATTTCTCTCACAGATTTTTATTATATTAAGAAGAAAATAACATTCTATGTTTGTTTTCTTTTTATTTTTTCAAGACAGGGTCTCATGTCCTGGAACTCACTATGTAGACCAGGCTGGCCTGGAATTCGCAGAGGTGCTGGGATTAAAGGCCTAGGCCACTGTGACCAGCTTTATAACATTGTCTTTAATTTCTCTGTTCTTCTACCAACAGAAGTAACAATTCCTTGAGGGAATCCACTGAAGGCAGCAAATCCAGCGAAACTCTTAGCAGGTGAGAAATTATTTCCCTGTCGTTAAGTTACAAAATGTCCTTTTGTTCTGTTCACTTACTGAGAAGACAAGGAGCTCTGTACTGTACCATGTGCTGTCCTATGCCCTTGAAATAGATAACACTGAGTGCGATACCTCAGTAAAACCCTCCACTTTATCCCCTACAGACAAAGAGAAGCTTAAACCAGGATTCCTAAGTGTAGATAAGAACTTAGAACCCTTTTCCCCAGGTGGCTGTATCGGATACAGGGACTTTGGAAAACACAGTCAGGATATTCGACCAAAAGACTAAAAAGGGAGGC